GGGGGTCTGCTTCTCCCTCTGCCCTCTTCCCTCTCGTGCTCTCTGTCTCTCATTCTCTCTCTCTCAAATAAATAAATAAAATCTTTAAAAAAAAGAAAAAGAAAATGGTTTCTCCTAACATTCCTTTTTGTGTTTAAAAATCAAATAACATTCAGGGGAAAAACATCTTAGAAATAAATGCAGTAGGAACAGTTACAATACACAATGGCTACTCAGTGGCACTTCTCATCAAGGTGGGTGCGCGCGTGTTTTCTCTTTATTACGAGGCTAAAAAAATCATTTTTCATGCATTCACGTAGCTTTGTTTTGTTGTCCATGTAGATGTTATTACAGATCATTACAGGCATTTGAAGCCATTTGTCTTTAAAACACTACGCAAAGTGGCTGGGTGAGGGACACTGGGGAGGGCATGTGCTACGGTGAGCGCCGTGGACTGTGTAAGACTGATGAGTCACAGACCTGTACCCCTGAAACAAATAATACAGCATATGTTAATAATAAATGGGGGAAAAAAACCAAACACTACCCAAAGATAGCAGTTCAGGAGAGATTTTGCCCCTCTGTATTTTAATGCCTGGGAAGCTATTGTGCCTTTCAGATCGTTTTGATGATAACCATATTAAGAAAAACTATACAGCTTAAAAATAATACTTAAGAGGATAACAAAATCTGAATTAGAGCCAGCTGACTTTGTTTATAGGCTATTTTAGCTTTAATGGGAAAAACGGGAGACACATGTTTGTGAATTATGTAAATATCAAGATAACGTTTTTTCCATTACAAGCAAGAGTTTTATAGAAATATTTGAAGCTGATTTTAAAATGTATTTAGTTACTTTTGAATTCAAACTCTAAACTGCATACCCAATATGTAAGAGTTTCTTTGATACTTCCTCCCCCCCGCCCCGCCCCACCTTCCTTTTAGCTTTTATTCTGAATCACAACCCTTAGGCTCAACTAGTTTTCTGTCTAGTAGTTTTTCTAGAAATGAGTCAAGAGGACATAATGTTGCTAACAAAGAGCGAAACCGAATTCTTGGGACTTATAATTTAATGCTAACTGTGTGTAGCTCTTGAGCACTGAGTACCTTCTGAAATATATTTGTGAGAGCAAGACAGTGGGTGGTTAAAGGAATTCCCACACTTTGCTTTTTAAGAGACACGAAAGGTAATATATCTGCCTCAGATTAATTGGGGGAAAGTACATTCATATTTGAGGATTTCTAAAATGTTTAATTTGCCTCTTAAAATTAGATCCCTCTGTTTTCAGTTAATACTGAGACCAGGAGAGGACAGGTAGGTAAGTATACATAAATACAAGATGACTTTTCTTTGGATTGGCATTTATTTTTAAATGGTATTGGCTGAATAAAGTAAGTAGCTATTTTAAATAAATTCTGAATGGAAGCAGCAGGAGGCATGACATTTTTGAGATCCTTTTATTTTTTTTAAAGGATTGTTTTAAAATTTTAAACTACAAAACTGATCCCATACATTCTGCCATAAATAAAAACAAACAATAAGGCAGACTCTACATAAGCAAACTGAGAACTGTTTTCAGAAAATGTGGTAAAATGCTTTACAATCATAAGCCATCCAGTTTTTAAAATAAAACTGTTGAAAACTCACAAATCTTCAAGCGGCACATACAAGACCCCCTTGAAGAGGGAACAAAATGTGGTTCTGCCATTTTGTGCTGTTCTCACATTTTTGAAAACCTAGTTTTGCTTAGAGCACAGGTCTGTTCCATGTTCTAAAATTCACACAGGTTGGTTGGTGGTTTTTCTTCCCAAGAACCATATGATAGAGGCACCAATGACATACGACTTTGTTTCCAAGAACCTTGTAACAAAGCATTGTCTCTTTTAAACATACGACTTAAGAGGCAAGAACGGAATCCTGGAGTTTTCTTCCAGAGCCCGGCTGGGGCCCGCTTCACCGAATTCGCTTCTGCTGCCGCGCTCTGTAGATGTCATGAACAGGGGGGACGACAGCTCCCTTTTCTTCATCGTCATCGGAATCCTCGTTGGGCCTCTTGACCGCCTTGGTGAGTACGGCGTTGCTCTCCACCGGGCCGTTCCCCTCGACGGCCAGCTCCGGGGCGCCGCCCGTGATGATCCGAACAGCTTCCTCAACAGCTGCGCAAACCACACGGAAAGGAAGGACTGTTGGGGGGTGGGGAGACCTGGGCGGGGGATGCTGCAGAGTCCGCCCCGGGGAGAGAGACTGCACGCGCTACTTGGGACACTTCATGGTTGCCTGCAGAGCCTACTATTGGCAGAGCAAGGGAGGGCACGAGTGACACTACATAAATAATTAAAGGAAAAGACCAAAGTGGCTCTTAAAATGACTTTCAGAAGCCCAGTGTCCTAGTTCGTGTTCCCATGATAGAAAAGATCCGCTTTTGTGATGTTTTACTCAGTGGCATTAGAATGTGAACGAGCCTCTCTGTACCAAAGAGGGTTTGACTGCTCTGAGGTTTCACTGTACTGCAAGATGGCTAGCTGGAGTTGGGAACTTCAGTGCCAAAGAATAACAATCGCCTGCCTAGGAGACCATGTGAATTTGGCCCTAAAGCGGGGCTTTTGTCACTTACTATTTGGTATCTTGCATCTTCGGAAAATTTCCATCAGTTCATCCACTTGTACAAAAGGACCCTATTTTGACACAAATGAATTTTAATCTCCAACAATCTGACAAGTTAAAATCGCACTACTTTACATTTTCCGTGAGAGGCGAAAAAGCACATGATTATTATAACCCACAGAGCAAGTATTATCAAGAAAATAAGAGTAAACAAACCTGGAAGCAGATGGGAGGAGGGAGAAGTTTCATTAGAACGACGGCTGCAGGCGGCACTGGGAACACGCCCCCGGGAACAGGGTGTAAGCCGGGTGCTGTGACACAAGGAGAAGGGGGGATCAGACAGGATGGAAGAATTTCTAGACAGAGCTAAAATAAATCAGAAGTAATTTATATAGAGGGTTCTAAGTATTGCTTTGTTCTGGACATTTCAAATTGCTTTTACTGCTATACGTGTTCGGCCAACTACAGTGGAGGAGACAGGGCCGTCTCACCCCCATGGCCGCTGGGAGGCAGAAGAGTAAACAACCCAGTGGCAGAACTTCAGTTTTTGTCAAAGACCATTTCTAAGCCTCATAAATCATGTGTTCAGCAATCCTTTTTAAAGTCAGTTACTCAACGGCATGTTTAATCATAAGGGCCTTGTTCAAATAGGATCTAGAAGGGCCGCTACCCATTAGTGAGTGTAAATAACACCAAACAGCGTCACTGAAGTGAGTGTGCAGTTGTACAGGTAATTTGTATGGAGCAGCATTTCTGCCCACACAGGTTACTAGAATCTGGATCGTTGAGGGTATTTTCATTTTTAAAGACATTCTTAACTCCTCTTGCTTCAAAGATTACAGCCAAGTCACTTGTCATAGTGACCCTGAGTCTAATAATTAACCTGCAAGGGAAAGGTCACATCACTCCCCCCCACCTCTGGATTTAAATCAACAAACAGAGGTCTCAGTACTGGATCTAAAGTCATGGCTTACGTGCTAAATGTCGTGGCTGAAATGGAATCATCTGCTGAGTGTCTGGTTTGGGGTACTCTGGTTTTCTATCCACTTCATCTTTCAGAACAGGCACTATGGAAGGAGCTACAACTGGGTCTGGAATTATAGCTGCTAGCTTAGCACGGGAGACATCCTGAAAATGCAGAACACAAGAATCCTAAACCTGAAAAAGGGACTTGAAGTATCATTGTGCAATTCTACAATCTTGAGGATACACTGAATACCTGGGTTAAAACCACAGAGAACTGAGAGGGACAAGTTAGAATGTGACGGTAAAGACTATTAAACACTCAACAAGGAAAGCTACAAGGCTTTAGAGATGTGGTGTTTGATAACCTTGCCCTAACCCTGGTCAGGAATTGTTTGACTCAGTGCTGCTGGGTAGGACATTTGCAAGCTTTTTTGAGTAAACACCTGACTGGGCACCAGGAAGAGAGTGGGGCAATTTGTGAGAAAATCTACAATTTTAGATATTTTTCTGACCCTTCCCTTCCACTAGAATTGAACAATATCAATTTAAGTGAAGCCCTACTTCATGAAAGCTAAAATAATCACTTAAACTAATTAATACAATTTTATTAATGAAATAAAAAATTATTCCCGACATAGTTACAGGGAAGAAGTGACCGATATTGAGCAGCCACCCTTTGTCCAGTTTTCACCATTTATTCCCTCTTTGATGAGGCAAATAGTAACCTCTCCATTTTATAGAAGGAACTGAAGCTCAAAGAGGTTCTAATATTTCCGAGGTCTTAGAGCTAAGAAGTAGAGAAAGGACTGGGAGCACTGGCCTCTGACCACAAACCCACCCACCATCCTCTTTTTAGTTTATCAGCAGTGCCCCACCAGGGCTGAGAACAGTTCTCCAAGACCGGTCAAAAGGGACAGTATGGCCACCTATCAGCGGGGCCCCGCCCCAGAGAAGTTCCTCTGCTCTAGGCGCTGCTGTCAGCCTGCCTGTCTGGAACCAAAAGAGCCCCTTTCGCCATCATCGACGCAGAAGAACATTTCACTTTCTCAACACTTGCTCATATGCACAGTTGGTGGCAGATCTCAGTGAGCAGGCCCATCGGGAACGGCTTTTTTCTCTTCCCCTCCCACATTATGTACACATGGGAGTATATTTAATCCTTCTCTCCCAAAATGAAAGAGTTGAAATAGAAATAGAAGATGGAGAATTCATACTGAAGAAGTAGTTCAACTTGGAAATAGTAAGAGCTCTATTTTCATTAATTTCCATTTTCACCTTGACGAAGTTGAAATAGTCCTTGCTAACTTCACATAGTGGTCTTAAAGGTCTTTTGCTTTTCCTTGAGAAGTTAAACTAGAAGCTGACCTTCCTGACCCCTGAGCAGTCACCCCTAGTTACAGAATAGGAAGATGGGACTGGCACGGAACTGGGGCTTCCATCAGTGAAAAGGTCTGAAGGTCAATTATGGGTCATTTTCCCCAAACATGTAAATCTGGTTCACACACCAGACCAGCAAGACACAGGCCCAAAGAGGCTGCTGAAGAGAATGATGGTCAAGAGCATCCTAATGCTGGTTGGCTTAAAGGGACCCAATCTAGGATCTTGTGGGTATCGCTTCCCTTTGGATTTCTATCTTGGTCTTTGTTTTCATGACACAGGAAAAAAAAAAAATCAAGAAATGACAGAACAATGTTTTTCTCAGCAAGGGCTATTTCTGGAGCTGCATGAACATTAACCTTTCCCCCGGGCCTAAACAGGTTGAGGGGCCAGATTTCTTAGGACTCAGTTGTCTATATAGAGGAGTTCAATTCCCAGATAAGCTCATTTCCTCAAGAGCCCCCTGAAGTACTGTGTTAAGATACAAATCCCTTCAGGAACTTTATGGACTTCTTAACAAGCTGTGAGGTTTCTTCATTATACCTACAGGAGCTACATTTGGTTTAGGATCTGTCAAAACACGTTCATGAGTTTTAAGAACTATTAGAAAAAACATAGCACCTAAAATGACATTTTTTCTTCCTTCCACAATACCTTCATGTGCCCACCAGACAAGATACAGGGCCCTGGCAATTACAGGGGAAGGCTGAAAGTGTTAAATCTCACTCTCGCATTTTGTTCAGTACTTTTGATACTCAGTGTTTCATAAACCCAAGGAAAATCCCTGAACTTTTTTCCTGTTTTCTGAAAATCTAAAACTAATTTCTATTTCAGAATTTCCTTTAGAGGGATGTGTTTCCATAAACTATTCTAAAACACGGGAAAAGTAGGGACACTACACACCTCTTGATCCTAAGTACATACCTTATAACCAAGCGCTTTTAGTTCACTCGCCGAGCAAGGATATAAGTCCATGAACTTATATCTGTCCACCAGTAAAGCTGTTTCTTTGCCTTCATACTCTTCTTTGAATGCTGTAAACCGTCTTTTCTCCACTTTGAGTATGCTAGCTAGATCACCAATGTTACTTTCGAAAGCTAGAAATCGGGCCCAGATTTCTCTGTAATAAATACAGTCAGTACTTAATTATTCTGGGTTTGGAAGAGGGAGTCCATTTACAAAAAAAAAGCCTGAAGTTCCCTTCTCCCTTTTTTTAGTTAGAAAAAGCTCTTTTTTTAATTAAGGTTTCCAAACTACAGGACAGTATAACAAATACCTATGGATCATCATCATCACCTAGATTTAATCATTGTTAATATTTTGCCGTATTTGCTTCATCTTGCTTTTGCTTAAGTATTTGAAAGTAAATTATAACACTTCACCCTGCACTCCTGTGTATTTAAGCCTCTTTTTGAGATTTTATTTATTTAGCGCACCTTCCTATCCCCTTGTGGTCAGTAAGAGACACAGTTAGGTAAACTGTAGGTGGAAGAGCTGAAAAGGAACATACCCAGACTTCCAATTTCTCCTGAATAATGTGGCTTCACCATTTTGTTTAGTGGCATGAATTATTTTGTGGAATACATTCTTCACTCAATGTATGAATAAAAATATATTCTAAAACCTAACATGATTGCTTTTTTTCCCCTCATTAACATGGATTATTTGGGACATATTTGTGCCTCAGAACTGTTGTAACAGCCAGAATTAATTCTCTGAGACTCTACTTAAATGTCACTAAATACCTTTGTATTAAAGTAACACACAGAATGCCAACTGCATACCAGGAATAGGACTATCACAAAAAGCCTACATTGGCTGATATTACTATTAGTAGCTGAGAGAAGGTTTGGGAAGGTTATGAAATGTATCCAGGGTATAATCAGCTGAGCTGGAAATTGAACCCAAGACTCCAAAGCCTTACTATTTCCACTCTACCACTATACCATGTTCCTTTGTTTGATAAAACTGACAGAGTCAAAAGCATAAACCAGGGATGTAATATATCAAACAAACTTTGAATATGTAAGAGTTTTTGCCCTTGAGTAAGGTAAAACTTTCAGAACTTGTATTTGTTCGTATCAATTTCTAGGGCATGGTAAACTAGGAAGATATATTAAAATATTTAATAATAAATGCCTAACATCTCTCAAAACAATTCTCAGTATACAAACATTTTTTTAAAAAATCTTAAACAGGCAGATATTTGTAAATTAAGCTTCAAGAGAGAAGGGAAATTTCTCCTGAAACTTCTAAACAAACGTTCATCCACAGATCACAATTCAAGTGTTAAAGCTGCCATCGGAACCCAACCAACAAGTTTTCCCAATAGCTTACCCAGACTTCTCAGGAGGAAGGCTTCCAGAGGTTAAGACTCGTTCAAACAAAACTCGGGTATTATTGTCCTCTAGGATATATAAAAAGATTTTAAATATTGAAAAATTACATTTTACAATCAACCGTGTATTTACATATGTATCATCTCGTTTAATTCTCACAAAAATCCTCTGCAAAAAGGTAACCATTTCCCCAATTTTTATAGATGAGTTAACCTGGGGTTCAAAACAATTGAGTTGGGGACGCCTGTGTGGCTCAGTCCATTAAGTGTCTGCCTTTGGCTCAGGTCATGATCCCAGGGTCCTGGGATTGAGCCCTGCATGGGGCTCCCTGCTCCGCGGGGAGCCTGCTTCTCCCTCTCCCTCTGCTGCTCCCCCTGCTTGTGCTCTTTCGATCTCTCTGACAAATAAATAAAATCTTAAATAACCCAAAACAACAACAACAACAAAACCAGACAAAAAATGATTGAGTTGATCTGGCTCACTGTTACTGAGTAACAGCTGGAACTAGAAGCCAGGTTTTTTTACCTGTAGTTCAGCCCTCCTCCTACATATACTGCATTTATGTCAGGCCATTTATAACATATCTGAGCGAGGTATCCACTGGCCTTTTTGATCTTTTTTTTTTTAAGGTTTTATTTATTTATTTGAGAGAGAAAGAGAGCATGAGCGGGGTGAGGGGCAGAGGGAGAAGCAGACTCCCACTGAGCAGGGAGCCCAATGCGGGGCTCGATCCTAGGACCCCGGGATCATGGCCTGAGCCGAAGGCAGTCGCTTAACCAACTGAGCCACCCAGGCGCCCTGGATTTTGTATTCTATAACTGTTTTGTTCGTAGCGCTCAAAACAACTTCATGGAACGGAGGAGATACTCTGTAAGCTCAATAAGCTCTTTTAATCTGTCAAATGCTCACTGATCCTTTCTGAAGTAGAGCCCCGGAAATAAATGTCTGGAGCCTAAACGGGCAGGATTTAGTTGCACCTGGCTCTGCTGGGGGTTTCTGTTTATATCGCCTTCAGAACCTAAGAACCAGGACTCATGTGTAGGCCTGGTTTAGGTTTGAAATCACACGTGTCTGGAGTTAGTAGCACTAGTCACATTTCACCATTTTTACGTTTTATCTGAACTAAACACCGAGAAGGGTATAAGATTAACTTCTGACTTCAAGAGCAACCCCAGAATTGAAGAAGCTCCTTCATTTCTGTCGTTTTCATTCCTGCCGCCTCTGCTTTCTGAAGTTGTCTTCGTCGTGCTAAAAGCAGAACTCTGGTCAGGGCTCAGGGAGGAAAATTTAGAAAATGGATGAATTGTTTTTCTTGACTTTTATTCCCAAAGCTTGGTAAGCTGACCCTTTTGTTGAATATGTAAGATTTTACTTAGATCAGGAACATGGTTATCTGTTTTGTTACTTCATGTAAATGATCTGTTAGGACTTCTGAATTTTTTATTAAATAGAACTTCACTTAAAAAAATAATAATAAATAGAACTTCATTTGCTGAGTGTCAGGTAAGAGGACTACCGACATTAATGAAGTTTGCTTTGGAAACTGAAATGTAAAAAACAAATTTATGAATATGGTAAATACGTTTTTACTGTCATATAAATGAACTCTTGGTTTTACATGCTAAGCGTAGGCCAATAGAGGGTTATAAAATTACCAAATAAATTCATAATTATTGACCAAGGTTAATATGCTGACAAAAGTGTATTTTTTCATTCTTTTCTAATGGTACAAATTTGGTTGTTGAGTTTTACATTTACTAGGTCGCTACAACCTTTTACTTTACTGGACGTGGCAGCATAGATCAAACTTCTTACTTGAAATTCAGTGCTAAAGGCTAGAGTTTGATGTTGTTCAGGAAGGACTTAGAGTCCTTACATCTTACCTGGTTCTAGAGTTCTCTAGAAAATGTCATTGCTTTTATAAGAAGGAAAAATATGGATATCTTCTGAAAATTTCTGGGTCTAGCACTACGGATATAGGAGAGTTCCTGGACAAGTGGGACCGGCTGTATGAGCAGACGTCTGCACATTAGAGTTCCAAAAGTAAGTGCGGATTTCTAATATCATGCGACTTGATCAACTGTGTCTACAAAAGGAATGATCAAATAATCATGTTAAAATCTAAAAATTCATAAGGTATCTATAGCAGAACATTAGAAAATGGTTTCTCCTGGGCGCCTGGGTGGCTCAGTTGGTTGAGCGACTGCCTTCGGCTCAGGTCATGATCCTGGAGTCCCGGGATCGAGTCCCGCATCGGGCTCCTTGCTCGGCAGGGGGTCTGCTTCTCCCTCTGCCCTCTTCCCTCTCGTGCTCTCTGTCTCTCATTCTCTCTCTCTCAAATAAATAAATAAAATCTTTAAAA